GGGGGGGGCATGGGACCTGGGGGTGTGGGGGGCTGCCCCCTTTCCCCCCAGTGTCCAGCCCGGTGGTTGCCTTTCAGAGAAAACAGGCCTCAGCGCAGCACTCTCCTGCTAGGACCCGGGGGACACCCCGTTCTCCTGGACACCCCCCCCCTCATCCCCCCATCCCTCCAAGCACCACTTTACCTCCCTCCGTGTCACGTCCTTCCTTCCCCAGGCAGCGTGGTCCCCAGCCTGGCTGTCAGCTCTGCCTCCTCTCTTGTCCCCAGACAGCCCAGTTCCCTCGCTGTGTCCTTGTCCCCTCTGTGACCAGCTGCCCCAGGCGGGGTGCACTGTCCTGGGGTGGGGTGAAGCAAAACGATGCTGGGACACGGCGTGCCCAAACCTGCCCCTGTAGCGTGGCCTGCTCAGCACTGCCCATAGAGCCGGCGGCAGCTTTAGGGTTTGTCTGGCGTGAGAGGTGTGAATAACCTGTCTGGATGCTGCTCCCTGGGACTCGCACGTCTCCCTCGTCTCTGCATTTCATCACATTTATTTCCTGAGATTGGGGAGGGGGTCTGTGAGGCTGAAGGGTGGGAGGGAGAGACTGAACCTGCGTGTGAGAAGAGAGGGGAGACAGCTTATTCGTGAGAGCCCAGGGAAAGAGCACGGCTCGGCATCAGTGAGCTAGAAACTGGCAGGAGCTGCTGTTGATTTGACCTTCCTTTGGGTTTCCAGGCAGAGGAGGTTTGCGAGGTGCAGGGGTGTGTGTTGCACCCTGGCAAACAAAACCTCTGCTCCCCCTCCAGGTCTTGGCAGTAGGGAGAGGCAACGCTGAGCACCTCAGCTCTGGACCATGAGCTGGCTCTGCTACTGGGGATGCCAGGGCTGAAGGCTCCAACCCTCGGGGAAGGAAGATGCTCCAGACCAGCAACTACAGCCTGGTGCTGTTCCTGCAGTTCCTCCTGCTTTTCTACGACCTTTTTGTCAACTCCTTCTCGGAGCTGCTCCGCACGGCCCCTGCCGTCCAGCTTGTCCTTTTCATGTGAGTGCCAGGTGGGCGTAGCAGGCAGCACGGTGGGGCAGCAGGGCTGGGCTCTCACCACATCTCTCCTCCTGCAGCATTCAGGACATCGCTATTCTCTTCAACGTCATCATCATCTTCCTCATGTTCTTTAACACCTTCGTCTTCCAAGCTGGGCTGGTCAACCTTCTCTTCCACAAGTTCAAGGGGACCATCCTCCTGTCGGCAGCCTACCTGGCGCTCAGCATCTCCTTCCATGTCTGGGTTATGGTAGGCTGGGGTGGGCTCGGGGCTGCCGGCTTCTCCTGAGGGCAGGCAGCACAGTCTGCTTGCTTAGTTGGCCACAAACCCTGTTCTTTCAGTTCCTTTCTCACAAGAGGAAGGCCACAATCTACCATCACAGGGACAATTCAGTGTTCCCCTGTGATTCCCTGCACGACCCTCACCTTAGACATTTGGGCTGGAAGGGCATTGCCCCATCTCAGGCCCTTGGAGCTGCCCCATCTCTGGCTGTGACCTGCCAGAAAATCCTCTTTCCCCAGGGGAAGCCCAGCAGCTCCAGCTCTGTGCTGGCACGAAAACCTGCGCCGCGGTAATCCCTGCTGAAGTTCGTGACAGCAGCTCCTGCTTTACCTGGGATTAATCCCCAGCAAACGCCAGCGCTCAGAGCCTCCCCGTGGGCATCAAGCAGCATCGAGGGCTGGCAGGGGTCCTGCCTCTGTCCAGGCAACAGCTTCCCCTTCTGTTTCCTGACACAACTCCCTCCTGTTCCCTGCCAGAGACCCCGGGGACCCTCATCCATAAAGCTCTTGTGTCCCTCCCCAGCCTCTGGACAAGGGTCCTTCCCCACCCCAGTCTCCCAGGGCAGGGGAATTGTTTTGAGCTGGGCCAGGGGCCGCCCTGGTGCTGCCCACGTCATCTGGGCAGGGGATTGACGGGGATTTACAGGGATCTGAAGTCTGAAGCTAGAATAGGGCCCGGCTCGCTGCCTAAATCCCCTGAGCTGCTTAACCTTTGGGGTGGGGGGCTGCTCCCCCAGCCGACAGCATTGCCCCTGGCCCGTGCACAACCTTGGGGCCAGCAGCACACCGTGCTGAGGGAGCCAGAGGCACGGGGGTGCTGCCCCCAAACTAATGCAGTGCTTATTTTTGCCTCCTGTCTCTGTCCATCTGCCTCAGAACCTGCGGTGGCGAGATTCCAGCCGCTTTGTCTGGACTGAAGGCCTGCAGACTCTTTTTGTTTTCCAGCGGCTGGGTAAGAGCTTGTGGTCACAGTGTCCCTGGCAGGGTCCTACCCTTTCTGCGGAGCCTTTGGGGGTGAAGGTGGGGGTACAACCTCACCCTCTTCCCTCCCACAGCGGCTGTGCTCTACTGTTACTTCTACAAGAGGACAGCGGTGCACCTGGGAGACCCCCTCTTCTACCAGGACTCTCTCTGGCTGCGCAAGGAGTTCGCACAGTTCCGCGGCTGATGGCTCCCCTCGGGCTCTGGGCGATCCACCGTCTCTCTGCACCTCATGGGCCTCCTTGGGGACAGCTCCGGTTCAGCCATCTTCCTCCTCTTCCTCCTGGAGACCAGCCCTTCCACCGGTGCTGGCACAGCTCATGCAGATGCCAGGAGTCGGTGGGAGGTTTGCGGTGCGTCTGGGCACTGCCACCCCCGCTGGGACTTGAGTGGTTTTGTAAAGACTAAAGAAATAAATGGGCTGCATTTTCCAGAGGTTGCCTGGTGTCTGCATGCTCTGGGCCCCCTCCCCAGCTCTTCCCTTCCATCCTGGCAGCCTTATGCTGCCCTTGCTGCCACAGAACAAGGCTCACAGAATCCCAGAATCATCTGGGTTGGAAAAGCCCTTGAAGATCCTCCAGTCCAACCATGACCCTCCCACTGACCGTTCCCAACTCCACCAGATCCTTCAGCGCTGGGTCAACCCGACTCTTCAACCCCTCCAGGGATGGGGACTCCCCCCCTGCCCTGGGCAGCCCATTCCAACACCCAACAGCCCCTTCTGCAAAGAAATCCTTCCTCAGAGCCAGCCTGACCCTGCCCTGGGCAGCTTGAGGCCATTCCCTCTTGTCCTGGCGCTTGTTCCTTGGTTCAAGAGACTCATCCCCCCTCTCTGTGCTCTCCTGTCAGGGAGCTGTAGGGGGCTCTTCCCACCCTTTAGAGTGGGACATTGTAGGTAGAACAGGAGGGCAGCCGGGGCTTGCAACCCCGCCCGACCCCGCAGTCCCTCGGCCGGGCGGGGGACTCGAACCGGGGTTTCGAGTTCTGGTCCTCCAGAACCATAGAGAGGGACTGCGGGGTCGGGCGGGGTTGCAAGCCCCGGCTGCCCTCCTGTTCTACCTACAATGTCCCACTCTAAAGGGTGGGAAGAGCCCCCTACAGCTCCCTGACAGGAGAGCACAGAGAGGGGGGATGAGTCTCTTGAACCAAGGAACAAGCGCCAGGACAAGAGGGAATGGCCTCAAGCTGCCCAGGGCAGGGTCAGGCTGGCTCTGAGGAAGGATTTCTTTGCAGAAGGGGCTGTTGGGCGTTGGAATGGGCTGCCCAGGGCAGGGGGGG